ATTACTATCAAGCATTGAAATCATTACAAAAAGGCCTTTTAAATCATTACAATCAGGCCTATTATAATCATTACAATAACTACAATGGTATAAGTGTAAGATAATCGCCTGTGCATAATTCGTGTTTTTGTAACGGATTACCTCTACGACTCCGCAACAGGTGTGGAGTTTTATTAGGTAATTTATTGCTGCATGGCTGAGTGATCAATAATTAACTGACGCACATGTTGGTTCTATATAAGGATACAATTTTAATTTTGTAATTAACAAAATAATTAAAACATTTTTATTTAAAAAATGACCCCCCCCCCTTTTTTTTTGGTAATCAGACTGTTCGACGGGGTGCTAATTTTAGTTTCAAGTACGATTAATGACTTGAGAATTTCAGGTAGCAATTACGACTGGTTGATTTATGTTTAATTAATGACATCACTAAATTAGTCATTCCCAGTCTTTCTTCTAAAAAATTAACCTTTTTTTAACAAAAAAAAAAATGTAAAAAATGTAAAAATTGTTTCGTAGCTCTCATCATCACACCCCACACAATCACACGTGAAGCCCCCCCCCCCCCCCCCCCCCACACACACACACTTTTCACAAGCTGTGTAAGGCGTCGTATATCAACGAACCACAAGCGTTACATGTATATATCCCGGTCTTAAATTTAACGCACGGCGAACTACAATAACACAGAATCCTAATTAACACCATCTCATTACAATGACTCGATGACCTCATTGCACCAGTAACCAGCGAATTTTAATTAACCTCGCTAGTCAGATGCATAATCGTGTGTGGCCCACGGATTAAAACTTGAACGACGGCCATTGTTTGCCGGGGCCAAGTTTCCATTCAGCGAAATTGAACCCCCCCCCTCCCCCTCCCCCCCCCCTCACACTTTGTAAAACTCAAACTGCCGGAGACAGTGGACAGCGTCCATTTATGGACTCACACCCCGCCAGTGTCCACGTCTAATGTGTCCGGTTCGGACATTACTCGCCCGGAGTTTGACAGCGGGCAGTGGAGTCTTTTAACAGTTCATTATTTTAATGGGCGGGGAGAGTGAAGGGAGAGAAGCGATATTGACAAGGGAGAGAATTTATTATTATTTTTTTTCCTGTCTGAATTAAATTAACATGGATGTATAGCAGTTAAGCGACGAGTATTTTTAAGACGAGTTGTCACTGGATCGACGAAGTATAATGTCTTTTTTTTCCACAGGTGAATGATCAATTAAGACTTTTAATTATTTGTTTCTTGATGGATCGATGTAGTTTTATACAATTTTCTTAAGGGGGGGGGGGGGGGGGCGTCCATTAGTGACGTCACAATTCCATATTTTTAAAAAATTTCCACCCCTTTCATATAGTAACACATTGTCACAAAATGTTATACCCCCACCCCATAAAAATACGTCACACCTCAGCCCACCCCCCTCCCAGAACTGCAATTTTTGTTTTAGTTTGGGAAAAAAAAACGCTTCAAATACAATATTCATACAATTAGACTTGCAAAGCGTATCGTCACCCACCTTTCGTCACACATCGTCACGACTCTCCGGATCCCTCCCACCCCCCATAAGGCGTGTAACGTCTTTTATGGGCGACCCCTTATTCTAATTGTATAAAATATGAAATCTTAGCATAAAAATTTACTTTTCATTTTACGACAGGGGATATCTAAATAAACTTTGGAAATTAAAGTATTAAATTTAAGAACTCAAACCTCCCCCACCACTTTCCATCCTCACGCGTCACCACTCCCCTCCCCACACCCCACATTTACCTTATAAACCCCAGCTTACTTAAGTAACATAAAATTTCCAGCTAATAGTTCAAAAAATTTCAGCCCTCGGGGTCGCGCGACGGAGAACCCAAATATCATACCACGGGCGGACAACTCTAAAGTTGTAATCAGCCAGTACCAAACGATCACAGATGGGTTTAACACCCTGGCTAACCTCCGAGTGGGGGCCAGTCCGTGCGATGATATTTCAATAAAATATTCATCTGCAATGATATTAGGGCTGACTCCACCCCCCCCCCCCCCCCACCCCCCCACCGCTGTACCAACTGCGAGGTCCCAACGGCATGGTTGTCAATGTCGTCTGCAAATATAAATGAAACTGTTGCAAGTCAAGTTGGACGGCCGGAATAAATGAGAGATGTCGGTAACTTTTGATTATTGTGGTCCAGTTTTCGTCGTTCGCGAGAATAATCTATTAGGTGCTTGACTAATGTCATGAAGGTTGTTTGCTAGCAGTCTTTATATGGTGCTTCAATGTTATCAAGGTCATTTGCTAGCAGTCTTTATATGATGCTTCAATGCCACCAAGGTTTTGTCATTTAATAGCATGCTTTACTTAAGTTAATGTCACTAAAGTCCTCATTGAATATCATGCTTTATTTGCTTTGTGTCATCACGGTCATGTCATTTAATAACATGCTTTATTTGCTTTTTGTCGTCAATGTGCTGTTATTAAATAGCATGCTTTACTTAAGTTAATGTCACCAAAATCATCATTGAATATCATGCTTTATTTGCTTTATGTCATTACGGTCATGTCATCTGACAGCAATATTGATTAGTTGCATAACGGTTGTTAACAAATATTAACAATACGACCTAGGATGTCTAATTTTCACAGAATTATGTATAGAATTATTTCCGGCTTTTTAAAAACTCACAAAACTTTGTCTGAAATTATTCTAAGGCAATAAGCATTTGCATTTAGTCTTAATGTGTGAACACATACATGTTTCGAAACATAGCGTTTTTTTTAAATTTGTTTTCAATCGGTGTCAGACAAAAATAATTTGTTGTATTGAAATTATGAACAATAGAACAATGAACAAATTTGTCGAATTAGCCACCTAACTATTCTTAATAGAAGAAATTCGCAGAAATTAAAAATTAAAATACTCCTTCTTTGTATACAAAATGGTGGACAAAACTACTTTATCTTAGTTCCGTATAATGTTAGCATCACATACAAATGTAAAATTATCTTTGTTCCTAGTGGCTCTCATGGGATTAAAGCTGTAAGGTTTAGTACTTACTCTCAGTTAAAAATGTTTTATAAATTAATTACAATGCATTATTTTAGATTAACAAGAAATAGATAATAGGACTTCACAGAAATAGAGTTCGAATTTCAGTTTCATTAGCCACATGTATATCTACGTCAGCATGCAAATTTCTAAAAAAAAATATCACGCGCAACATCATAAAGAAATTTGTGAACTTCTTCAACAAACTACATACCAGTCAATCATAATCAACATTTTTTATCCACATAATCTAAATAGATTCCACCTTAAACAAGGTTTTAAAAATAAAAATAAAAAAAAAGAAGCGGATTTTTTGGTAACATTGAAACAGGGTAGATAAAAACTCTTTGGAGAGGCAACACACTCGCTAGTACCTTGATAAAATCATTTCAGTGGCCTAGTAGGGTGGAGATCTGGATCTCATTTTAATGTGTATTGATGTGTTTCACGGGAGAGGTCTGAGTAAAAATAAACACAAAAAGAAGAAAAAAAAAACCAACACATGTGTTGCATCGTTATGTTTTTTATATCATGATGTGGTAATGTGTGTGGGAGGGGTGTACATGATCAAACATTATACGAGTGCATTATATTTACCCTAAAATTATATTTACCCTCTAACGTCGCCTTTGATTAGCAAGTAATTACATGATAGTGATTAGCGATTTAATTACGTATTAAGCACCAGATAATTTTTTTTTTAAGTGTGGGGGTTAATGAAGTAGTTACTGCCCTTAGCTCAGGTAGGCGGCTGTGATCTGACGTCGGCTCTTTGGCGAATCGGTATCCACATGTTAACGATGGCATAGCAGAGCGAGAACACATTTGGAGAACTTGACCAGCGTTTCTTTCATACATTTGCTCTGGGGACGGTATGAGAATGGTCACTTGAGGGGGGATAGTTAACGTATAGGCCTATATGGTTAAGGTATAGAACTCGTAATTAAAATTAAATTGCTTTCTATTTATGTCGGGGTGGGGTGGATGATGAGACTGCTTTGGACGTGCAAAGAAGAGGAGAGGTTGAGGTCAGATAAATACCTGAAAGAAACGCTGAACTTGACCACTGGTAAATATATCAGTAACGGCACTATATCCATATTTAATTTATATATTTTAAGTCTTGTATATATATATATATATATATATATATATATATATATATATATATATATATATATATATAATATATAATATATATATATATATATATATATATATATATATATATATATATATATATTATATATATATATATATATATATATATATATATATATATATATATATATATATATATATATATATATATATCATATATATCATATATATCATATATATCATATATATGTAAGTTTGATGTATTGCCTCTAGATTTGTTAACTGGACAGTTTATATGTTCTACATAACATATTCCTTATACACGTCTACAGCCTCAATTTATGAACCCATGTCAATGTATATTCTTATTACTCCTGCATCCCAACTGAAAAAAAAAAAGCCAAAACATCCTTCCCTAGAACTGGCAAGCCCGTCGCAGCTTTGCTGATAAAAAAAGTTTTCGAGCACACCGTTTAAATTCGGGGCTCACGTGAAGTCTAGAGTGAGTTCCAAAAATTTATGTACGCCCTCAAAGAGCCTCCGCCACAGGAACCCAATTTCACCGCGATAATGCGGCTTTTGATACGGGCGGATCGGCGACAGAATGGACTAGCTATTGAAAACATGTTTTCCCGAAACCCCGGCTATTTACAGGGCCGGCTACTCTATGTTTGTTGTGGAAAATGTCAGGAGAGATGAAGTCAAATATACACGCTCTACGGGGCGTGCGGTTGGGTTGGGCGTCGAGAGTCGTTAATGGCGAGGTGGGGGGGGGGATTTAAAATTTTAAAATTTGCTCGCGTCATTGAGAATTGGGAGATGTAATGATGGAGTCTTGAGGAAGGAGTCATGAAGCTGGAGTCTAGAAGAGGAGTCATGAAGCTGAAGTCTAGAGGAAGAGTCATGAAGCTGGAGTCTAGAAGAGGAGTCATGAAGCTGAAGTCTAGAGGAAGAGTCATGAAGCTGGAGTCTAGAAGAGGAGTCATTAAGCTGGAGTCTAGAGGAGGAGTCATGAAGCTGGAGTCTAGAGAAGAGTCATGAAGCTGGAGTCTAGAGGAGGAGTCATTAAGCTGGAGTCTAGAGGAGGAGTCATGAAGCTGGAGTCTAGAGAAGAGTCATGAAGCTGGAGTCTTAAGGAGAGAGTCATGAAGCTGGAGTCAAGAGAAGAGTCGTGAAGCTGGAGTCTAAAGAAAAGAATCATGAATCTGGAGAGGAGATGAGGGAGTCATGAAGGAGTCTGGAGAAGGAAGACATAGTTTGAGTAGAGGATACAGTCATGAATCTGGCGTGGTGAGAAAAGAGTCATGCAGCTGGAGTCTAGAAGAAAGAGTCATAAAGCTGGAGTCAAGAGGAGGGAGTCATGAAGCTCGAGTCTTGAGGAGAGAGTCATGAAGGAGTCTGGAGAAAGGAGACATGAAGTTGGAGTAGAGCATACAGTCATGAATATGGCGTGGTGAGAAAAGAGTCATGAAATTGGAATCTAGAGGAGACAGTCGGGAATCTAGAGTCGTGCTATGGAGTCATGACTCTTTAGTTGTTTAGTGCTATCAGAATCGTTAGGTCTGCTTCACGATGTTGAAGTCAAGAACCTTAGTCGGATTCAAGGGATGTAGATGACTGTTCTGCCCTTTCCTCCCTTTCGTTGTAATATTTTCGTCTATAGTTCTGCCCCCCCCCCCCCCCACCCCCCACCCCCTTCCCCTAAATCCAACACATTTCATTATGTGCTGACTATGAGATTTCGAACTCTACCTATGTGCAATGCTGGTTTCTGAACGGCAGCACAATATTCATTTTGTATATTTGTGTTTGTTTTAAATAATGAGATTGTGTTTTAGTAAGTCATAATCATTTATTTAAAACGTCAGCCAACAAATGTTTTTTAATATTAGAAACAAATGAACCTTCATTAACTTGATTAATAAGGACAATTTAAAATGAATTAAAACCCATTATTTTCAGCTTTAATTTTTCACCCCTAGAAAGATCAATAAACGCAATTTAAAATTTAGTAAATTTTAAAAAATATTTTCCGCCTTTAAATATTTTACGCATTTTTCTAATAATGTTTCTACTGGTAAAATTTCATTTATCTAAGATGTAGGCCTATGCCCCATATAGAAATGACAAAATGTAAAATTTCAGATAGGCTTCTAAAAAAATACTATCATTAAAGTAAATTGGCATAGTGTTGACCACACTATCCCTTCATTTATAGGAGTAAGAAAAATTTATCTTCTACGGGGAACGTTTTGTAGTGAGTATCGACAAACCAAATTATTACCGTATTCATAATTATATAAAATAAATGAGTAAATATATAGGCCCTACTTGAATGAACGAAATAAAAATCGAAGGTGTGAACGAATGAACAAAGATATATATATATATATATATATATATATATATATATATATATATATATATATATATATATATATATATATAGGCCCTATATACATAATATGTAGGGGGTCATCCAATTATGACGTCCACACGGTGGGGCGGTTCGAAGTAAAATTGACTTTTGCGGAAGCGAATGGACTTTTATAACTGAATTAAGTGGATTTTTGTGGATGGGGGGGGGGGGGGGTCATAATCCAAAACATGTATGGACGTCATAAATGGACCCCTCTAAGACCTATATATGTGTGTGTTTGAATTTTTTAATATTCTATTCCTACAAAATAAAATCCTGCCTACGCCACTGTTATGAAACTCTGTGATTTACTCTAACAAACATAATCCAAGCAAATCAAATGAAGATGCCTATCTCCAGAATCAATCATACCCAGCTAGGCGCGGTCGGCGCTAATAAAACGCGTCAACTACGCTAGCTCTCGCGGTGCTGCGCCCCTTCCAGGAGGCGCTACTCCAGACAGTTGTGAGTTGCATCCCTTTGATTCCGATCCCGACAGTTACTGCTACTGGGTGGGATACAAAAAAAAAAAATTCATACCGTAGTTATCTTCTCTTGGAAGGTTTTAATGAGAGTTTTAAATAACCTCCCCTCTTTTTCTTAAACCGGCTAGACAAAACGAGGTTTAAAAAAAAAAAAAATTAACCGTAAAAAAATAATAAAAGGTTTCAATTTGCTAATCATCTGCTTTGAAAGATTTAACATAAAAATGTCCCTTCATTGCGCGGGTATGACGCTGTATCGGGTATGTGGGCCTGATAAGAGCACACAGAAGCCATTAAAATATGAAGAGGGTAGATGGTCGTTATGGTGGTTGTGTCTGGGATGTTACATTACTGAGCACAGGCAATGTCTTCTTTCTTTTTTTTTTTTTGGTTGCCGGGGCCCGCCTTTGAAGCAGGGGTCGTGCAGAGCGCAGCCGGGCGCACAATGATATCACAATCTATATAGCGCTCACCCCATTCAGATACTGGTGGCTACGAGGGGCTATCGGGGACCTGCAATCTCTGAGACGCGGTCTTGGTTAATAGTTGAAGAAAATTTGCTCGACGCCAGGTTCGCTTCAGGGTCCCCCCGGTGGTTAAGGTTAGCGTTAGGACGAGCTGATGAATTATGAGTTTACATTTTTTAACCCCACCCCCTCACACCACACCCCTCCTTATCCTATAATCAAAATCCTGTATTCGCGAAAAAAAAGCACCCTCCCTATACTATATTCAAAATCCTGTATTCGCGAAAAAAAAGCACCTTCCCTATCCTATATTCAAAATCCTGTATTCGCAAAAAAGCACCCTCTCTATCCTATATTCAAAATCCTGTATTCGCAAAAAAGCACCCTCCCTATCCTATATTCAAAATCCTGTATTCGTGAAAAAAAAGCACCCTCTCTATCCTATATTCAAAATCCCGTATTCGCGAAAAAAGCACCCCCCTATCCTATATTCAAAATCCTGTATTCGCGAAAAAAGCACCCTCTCTATCCTATATTCAAAATCCTGTATTCGTGAAAAAAAGCACCCTCTCTATCCTATATTCAAAATCCCGTATTCGCGAAAAAAAGCACCCCCCCTATCCTATATTCAAAATCCTGTATTCGTGAAAAATAAAGCACCCTCTCTATCCTATATTCAAAATCCTGTATTCGCGAAAAAAAAGCACCCTCCCTATCCTATATTCAAAATCCTGTATTCGCAAAAAAGCACCCTCTCTATCCTATATTCAAAATCCTGTATTCGCAAAAAAGCACCCTCCCTATCCTATATTCAAAATCCTGTATTCGTGAAAAAAAAGCACCCTCTCTATCCTATATTCAAAATCCCGTATTCGCGAAAAAAGCACCCCCCTATCCTATATTCAAAATCCTGTATTCGCGAAAAAAGCACCCTCTCTATCCTATATTCAAAATCCTGTATTCGTGAAAAAAAGCACCCTCTCTATCCTATATTCAAAATCCCGTATTCGCGAAAAAAAGCACCCCCCCTATCCTATATTCAAAATCCTGTATTCGTGAAAAATAAAGCACCCTCTCTATCCTATATTCAAAATCCTGTATTCGCGAAAAAAAAGCACCCTCCCTATCCTATATTCAAAATCCTGTATTCGCAAAAAAAGCACCCTCCCTATCCTATATTCAAAATCCTGTATTCGCGAAAAAAAAACACCCTCCCTATCCTATATTCAAAATCCTGTATTCGCAAAAAAAGCACCCTCCCTATCCTATATTCAAAATCCTGTATTCGCGAAAAAAAAAACACCCTCCCTATCCTATATTCAAAATCCTGTATTCGCAAAAAAAGCACCCTCTCTATCCTATATTCAAAATCCTGTATTCGCGAAAAAAAGCACCCTTCTATCCTATATTCAAAATTTTGTATTCGTGAAAAAAAAAACAGGAAGTGTAAACCCCTCATAAGAGTTTTGAAGAGCCGTGTATTTATAACGTAGGGGGGCGCTCATAGTTTTTAAACGGGTCGTAAACTGAAGGAACACGCCTTCCACTTCAGAAGTCTTTGAAGGCCCCCACGAAAACACAACGTTAAATGACAAGGCTAGAGCAATACAGCACGGAAACATTTGATTAGAGGGCTGAGGTATTCCAAACTCTCTAACCGTATCCTGTTGTCAAAGAAACGGCGCTACTTTAGTATACACAATACCCTTTTCTTCTACGGATCCGCGTAGGTAATGTTTGAGTTTTGTTTAACTAAAATAACTAAGTTTTAGGGGAAACATTGCCGTTTATGTAATTGGGTTTCGCGGTCATGTTTTGGCAGTATATTTAAATGATGGGACGTATTATCGAATGGTAGTGCATTCGATTGCTATCCCGAAGGTCTTGGGTTCGGATCTCGGTCCGGATTCGTGACTGCAGGACGTATCTGAGTCGACCCAGCCCTGATGAGTACCTGAATCGCGTTAGGAAAACATAGGCGTTTGTCGTGATCATTGAAAATTTCTACTTCATCTGCCCCGTGTTTCTAGGGCTCGAACGGAAAATTGTATTGAGATGGTGACCAAATTTAAGCAGTAGGTTTTTTTTGAGGGGGGGGGGGATGTGGGGGGGGGGGAGTGTGTAAGATTTGGTGATAATGGGTCCTTATAATTACACCTCAATGTAATAAACTATTTGCTTTACAGAAATATATACTATTAAAATATATATTTTAAAAAAAAACATGGATTCAGTTTAGCTGTATGTTTGAAGTTTACAACCAGATACAAATACAAGCTTTTTTAAGATGCTCTGGTAAAATAAAAACATGGCATATAATAACCATACGAAAAAAATGTTAATAAATAAATAAATAATATTTGCAATTGAAACACCAAAAACACAGTTTCAAAAATTTCTCATCCTAGGATAACAGATCCATAGAGACCTTAAGACATGCTTTACTTAGATCAGTGTTGTTCTAGAGATTTGAAGAAGAAAACGTTTCTTTTGACGGTATGCTGCTAAGTATATTCTAATTTTGAAATAAAATAAATGAAAATTGTAGAAGTGGGTTTTTATGTAATATGTATTAATCAGAATATACAGTTCTATTTACATCACAAATTAAAGACATTTACGGGCGTTTCAACCCAAGTCTTCGTCAGAACATACACGTAAGGCTATGACTGGGTAAAAATTAAAAAAAAATAACAGTAAACAGATTTTTAAAAAAATTCATAGTTTATGACAAATGATTCTTCTCCATCTTGGCACCTTAGTTTCTGCAGTTTAAAAAACAGCCTACTAAGCCGTTTAACTTTGGAACATGCAGGCGTATGGTAGAGTCATCTCAACATTTTTTACCTTTGGAAGCTAGATGCTAATAACGAGAAAGTCTGGAATATTACCTGTAGAAGCTAAAGACTGATGATGAAATTTTACACATAATACATTGACCAGAATCCTAAGTCTAACTAACCGTAAGAAGTGGGTTAAAAAATTGATTTAAAAAAAAAAAAAGGACAACTCTTCGAGTTA